ATTATTATTTATAATATTTATATATAAATAATAAAGAAAGAATGAGATCTGAAAAGGAATCCTAAAATCTTTTTTTAAAAAATTGTTTGGGATCAAAGATTTATATTCGTAGAACTTTCTCAACAACCTGTCGATATGCATATCAAGGGAGCAAAGCACAGGCTTTGAGAAACTGCTGCTCCCACAGTCTCCTTGCTCTGTCTCCAAAATGAGGTCAGCAAAGTTGCTGCTCTTGCTTGAAGGTTTGGCTCTGCCAGTTGGCTTGAGGCCCCAACAGGGGAGTATCACACTGGAAGTAGTTGATGGACCAATAGCAGACCCCATCTCCCCTCCTCTACATTCTGCTCCCTCTGTCCCCATGCTTTAGTCATAATCTCTATTTTTATTGTAAATGATTAAATGTAAATATAAATGATTCAATATATAATCATATATGATTTACATATTAAATGTCTATATCCATATGTAAACCATATATGATTATATATATTTATATCATTTACATTTATATTAACCATTTACAATAAAAATAGAAATTATGACTAAAACATGGGGACAGGAGCAGAACGTAGAAGAGGAGAGGTGATTATGATTTATAAATAATCATTTATAAAAAATTATTGCTTATATGATAGGTCCTCAACTTACAACCATGTTTAGTGCCTGTTCAAAGTTACAACTGAACTGAAAAAGTGACATGACCATTTTTTACTCTTGCAGCATCCCCATGGTCACATGGTCAAAATTCAGATGTTTGACAATTGGTTCGTGATGGTTGCGATGTCCCATGATCATGTGATCAGCTTTTGTGACCTGATGAGCAAAGTCAAAGGGGAATCCAGATTTACTTAACAACTATGTTTCTAACTTAACAACTGCAACAATTGTAGCAAGAAAGGTCATAAAGTGGGACAAAACTCACTTAGCAACTTAGAAATGTTAGGCTCAGTTCTAGTTGTAAGTCAAGAACTATCTGTAACTCCTTTTCCACATAGAGCGCTAATCTACATTGAATAATTGTAAGCATTATTTTGTTATTTTATGTATAGGTTTTTGCATGATAATTTGCACACAGTCTAAATCTCCTTTCTTTGGGATTACTATGTAGATTGACCTTTTTCAGTTAGTTGGCCACTCTGTCATTTTCTAGATTTGCTGAGATAGCTTGGTTAGAACTTTTGCTGGTGATTCTTTTGTTGCTTTCTATATTTTTGTATATATTCCATCAATTCTTGTAACCTTCCAACTTGATAATGATTAGAGTGCTGATTTAACTTCATCTTCTAGTACTAAGAGATTCTATAAATAGGGAATAATTTGTAAAATATCTTACAAAATATCTCTATTACACAGAATTTCAGTATACTAGTTTCAGTATGCCATTTATCTATTTTATTAATGATGACATTTTATAATTTGCTTTGTAATGTATTTTATGGATTAAGATTTTTGCTGCATTTGAAATGGACAAAACTTTCTCATTTTTGTTGAGTATCTCATATGTATTGATAAATTTATTGTTGGATATTGCTAATCTATTGATAATTGATAATTGAAGTTAACTTCTTCCAATATTTCTGGTTCCAGTGTCTTTATTGGTATGGCATGCAGTATATCTGTAGCTTTGCAGTGTAGTTTGAAGTATTTTTATCCATTAATTTCTAGCCCTTCAAAATGAAAACATTACTGTTAAATGGTAACACAAAACTTAAAGATGACAAGTCTACCACTTGGACTAATTAAAATAAGCCTAAATCAAGAAAGATTATGATTAAGATCACACATGATATTGCTAAATTTGAGACCTCCAGAATGTGGAATATAAAGCAATGCTGCTAGGCTTGATGTATGTTTCAGTAAGAGACATCATTTATTGCAATACCATTTTTCCATTCTGAATGGATTCTTTTGTTAAGAGTTCAGGTTCGGTTCCTCAGTGAGAAAAGCTAGCTTTGTAATTTCCTGCTTCTGATATTATCCAGACATATTCAAGGCAATAATGATGAGCTTCTTATAAGAAAAAACACATTGGCAGATGTTCCTTGTTAGGCAACAATTTACTGATTTTTTTTTTTCAGTAAGTTACATGTTTGGAAGGCAAAAACTTTTTTTCATATTTCATAAACCAAACAGTAACATCAGTGCTTCTCTTTGTTATGTATATTTTAGTGCCCCAGCAGTTTCAATAAAATTCTATAATTCTATACAAAACCTGTTTAAGGCTTATTTTTGAGTTAAGGATGGATGGGATTGTGTTGTCAATATTTGCACAATACAACCCAAACTGTGGCCATCTTTGTTTACTTCTTGTGTCTTTCATAGCATTCAATTGCTGTTGCTATTCAGTTTCCCGTTACAAAATTTTGCACGTCATCATTCAGTGTTCTTAACTGCCACAATCAATTAAAAATGTACTGTTTGTCTTTCAACTACCATACACAAGCCATTTGTTTACCCAGCTCAAATCTACAGAATTTTAAGAGATTGTTGACCTGGATATGTTATTAGAATTTATAATTAGATTCTGAACTTGGTAGTCCAATGAAGGACTCAGGACAATTGCTTGAAGTTGAGGCAGTTTATTCAAAAAGCCAGACAATGAAACAGACAGTGACCGAATTGAAGGCAGCCATAAATTAAACACAGAAGCAGAAATATTTATAGGGGGGGTTGGTTCCTTGTTTGTGAGTTCTGCCTGCCAGTATGTTTTGTCCTGGGAAGTACATGGGCTCCAGAGGGAAGGAAATTCAATTTTCTCATTCCATGGGATAGAATCCTTATCTCTTGTGTCTAGGTGTTGGATTCTTGCTAGTGCTCGAGGACTTGCATCATGTGGATAAAGGCATTTCTCAACTATAGTGAGAGAATGTAGACTTGCCGTTTCCAATCAAATTGCCAGCCTAAGCCTCATTTAATTCATCAGGTAATCATAGTGGAAAGTACTATGGGCCATCTTGGACCAGAAATAAAGACCATCTCCTTTAGAAAGCACTGGAGGAGGAGTTAATTTAGTGCCGAGAAGGTGCCCGCATCAAAGTGCACCTCCTATGTCACACAAGCTGCACCAGCAATGCAGCCACTTCTTCAATTTGCCCCAAACAGCAGAACATGATTTGGCAAGATCTCTCAAGAATGCACCTTTGTTTCTGCTAAGCGTGGATGGCATTCTGTCTTTCTTCCTATTATCAGGCATCCTTTACCAGGGTTTGAGATAAGATATCATATTGCTGCCGCTTTCTTCTATATCTCTGCCCTTCTTTCCCACTATTCCTTTTGCTCTCCAGCAAACAGCTGGGGAGCACAAGAAGCCATGAAGTAAGTTGGCCTGACTCATCTGCTTGGCTCTTACTTCACTTCCAACTGAGTAAGGAGAATGAATGGCAGACAAATGGGAATGTCTCTTCAGTGCAGCTTTCCCTGCCCCCATTGCTGTTCCTCACTAGCAGCAAAAAAAGGCATTTTCAACAAATTATTCAGAAAATAGATGACAGAGTCAGCAGAGTCAACAGCCACAAATATAAATAAGGTGCCTTCTTTATGTAGACATCATTACACTGAGATAAGCTTTCTTCAATTTTGCACTCTCTTTGCTTACAGTATTTTTGATTATAGACTGACTCCTTACAAACTCAATTCCCATGCACACGGCCTTTGGATTAAGTTATATATTGTTTTTACAGTACTTGTAGTCTTTTCTTCTGTTCAATCAGATCCAATTCTCAGAAATTGCCTCAACAAGTCCCTGCAGTTGTCTTTGCAAGATTTTTTTAGAAGAAGTTTGCCATTGCCTCTTTCCTAGGGCTAAGAGAAAGGTCACCCAGAGGGCTTTATGCCTAATAACTTATAGTCTCCTGATTTCTAACTTGATACCTTAACCACTTCACCAAACTGGTTCTCATTTGTAGTCATAATGGAGTGTTTATATCTGTATCTTCTGTCTGTCTATCATCTATGTTTACTGGCAATAGTAACAATACCTAGAGTGTTTCTATCCGTATAGGTTACTCCATTAGTGACTCCTTATGTTGCAGCCTCTTTGCAGTTGTTTCAGGGTGGAATATCTATCACTTAATTCTTTAAATTGGATCTGAGTTAGCAATGACATTTGCTTTCCCTCCAAAAATGAATATTAATAATAATTTTAAAATGCTGTATACATTATGTTAAATTTGATTATGAAGCAATTTTATTTGACAGGTCAAAAACCCTATCCCATTTGTAATAAAACCCAACACAGAATCTCACGAAGGTCACTTTAGCAAGACAGATTGTAACATTTTTTTATTAAATATGTAAAAAGATAAACGCAAATCAAATTATTCACATATTCAGAGACAAAAAAAAGTATATTCTGTCATGCGACAATTGGTAGGTAATGCAAAATGACTGGTACATCTGAATAAGACCTTTTTGCATCTATTATGTCATTATCTATTTATAATTAACAATAATTATGTTTACATTCCTTTCAGTTTACATTTAATATATAACCAAAGCTTTATGGTGTGCTATTCAGTAAAAGTAATTGCAAATGCATATTAAAACTGTAACGGAATAACAGGATTACTCACCACAGGGGAGGGGGGGTCCTCTTTCCTTCCAAGAGTCTCTCTCTCTCCCCTCAGCACAACTGAGCAGATCAGGTTTTATATTAAACTATTACCCTGCTGTCTCCCAAGCCAGCCACTTCCCATCTCCAAATTGGGGGGAGGGGGGGGGAGGGAATGCTTCGTAGACTAGTCATACAAAGGGGACCGTAGAAAACATTACTCTCCTCCCATGGACACAAAATATTCCTATGTGACAGGTTGGGGAGCAGAGAGGCTTTGGATGAGAGCAGTTCAGAAACAAACCTCGAAAAGCCCAAAAAGCGCTTCAAAAGGAAGTATTTTAAAAGTTTTCCTAGAAGGAAAAAGAAACAGAGATATGACATGACTGCATTAATGGCGATGGGAGTGTTCAAAAATAATGACTTCCTCTGGGGATTTTTTTTTTTTTTTAGCACAAGAAACATTTTGGAGGTGGCATAACAATAATAAAGATTATGGATTTGTTTTTTATTATGACAGTTTTTGAAAAAATAATGCTATTTATGAGTTTGATTATGCCTGCCAAGACAAATCATTTTCCTTGAAAATATTTAAAAGATTTATTTTTAGGAAAGGTGAAAGTGTTAAGTTTATTTATGATGAGTTGGCATAGTATATATAGCTTTGTTAATTCTTCTAAGCTGAAGAGATGGAATGCTTCAACTGAGTTACAGGATTAAAGAGAGATTGTAATACATGCTGCCTGATCTGTAATTAAGTATCATTCTGAAGCAAGAAATTTCAGAGAAAAAGAAACTTTGAAAGATGCAATACATCATTTATAGTAATAATAGAACTAGCACTTATGACCAGACCTTTAGTGATGCTAACCTGTACATTGAATTCTATTTGTTTTTTGCTAGAATATTTATAACCAATCCAATTTAAAACCAAGCAAAATATAAAACAGTAAATACAATGGAAAAAATACCATAATTAGAATGTGAAAATGTGCAATTTAAATAATAAGGAATGTTTTAATATGATTTATTTCAATTATAAAAATGTCACAATCTAAGTGCAAATTTAACTAGAAGTTAATAGAACTCATGGCAATGAATATTTCTGTAATCCAGCAATTTGTTTCTCCATGCTACCAATCCATTGATCCGGACTAAAATAATAATTAGCTTTTCTTTCTGGATAAGATATCCCCACTAATACAATGTGGAAACCGGCCTGGCATCTGTGTGTCCTTGAGTTACTCACTGATTTTTAGATTCCAAAAAGATATATCAAGATTTTAGAAGATAAACTGTAACTGTGCTAGTAAATATTCTGACTTGCCCAACACTTGCACAGAAGAAAAAAATAAATGTTTTCATAATCAGTGTAGCCAGCAGTGGGAATTGGAATATAGGTGACATCTTCAGACATATATACTGTAAAGATCGGTATAAATGCTTAAATTGACAAAACACTGAATATAGAATTGAAACAAGAATAACCTTTCTAGAAGAAGGAAGTGTCCAAAGAAAGATTAGGCAGGCATGTATGCATCTTCCAATACTATAAGAAACACTGTATAGCTTTCTAGCATGCTTTGGGTTATGACATCAGAAACATTACAGCTCTAGCATGTGTGCTTTTGTTCTAATTAGGGAAAATTATTTGAAATTACTTGAATTTGTCTATTTCAATTATTTCCCACTTTTGCCTTTTGTCCAAAGTAATGTCCAAGTGCACCGAATTATCATGAAATGTGAAACCTAACTGAATAGTACTTTTTATTTTAAGAGATGCCCATATAAATAGTTTTGAACAAATTACAAATGTTATTCATACTTAAGACAGAAGGAAAAATAAATATATATATATATTATATTTATATATATATTTTTAAAAGCTGAACAAATTTCAAGCAGCCAGATAGTGACGTTGCAGTGGTAGAAACTGGGAACAAAGCTTGCAGACCTTCTTAGGTTCAAACGCCGATAGAAGACTTCTGCAAAACACATCTTGGCAAGTTGGCTGACACAGTATGGTACATTTATGTTAATGGCAGACAGAGAGTGATTGGTTTCAAGTCTGAGGCCACACACATTCCATTCTTCCAAAGAAAGTTCCCACAGAAAATCAGAAACAGCCAGTGTGCCAGATGGTCAGTATTCTTCCTGTTGCTGGGGCTGTTCATGAACCTGTTCTTCACCTTCATGTTCTTCTGTGTGGCTCTCCTATATAAGGTAGGAGAGAAAAAACAAATAAACAAAAGTTGATCAAACACTAAAAGCAAAATTCTGTCTGCTTATGTTTCTAAAAAAAATGTTAGCGAGTTCAACATTTCTTAATCTTTACCACCAAGAGAGTGTTAAAATCATTAGGGGTCTTATACATTGTTCCCTAATTACTCACATTTTTATTTTAATTTAAAGCTAGGATTTTGTGTGAAGGAGAGAGAGAGAGCGTAAAAAAGCTTGAAACCTGTATACAGGGAAACTGAATTTCAAATATGAATATGATTCACTGGGGATCATGGAATGGTAAGCTGATACTTTTCTCTATTTATTGGTCTGAATTTTGGATCTTATCAGTATCAACTCCTCCAGAATATTCACAATTCTTTTATGGACTATAATCTCTGAAAAGAAATTCTGTGCCCTACCTAAAACCACTTTGTGGAATAACTAGCAGAGAAAGGCAACATTGGAAGACCTTGAATATGAATGTTATCCAATTCCATTAAAGCTACATTATTTATGCTATTGTACAGAGAAAAAATAGATTGTGAAGACTTACATGTTCTTCTGAAGCATACAGAACTTCCATTAACCGTTGAACAAGATCATTGTTTTCTTCTCCGTGTTCTTGACATAAAAGCTCAATCTCCCTTAATTTCCCAAAATAGAAATCTCTCTCCTTTTCCACACCTTCAAGTGCAAGTTTTAATGAATGTACCTGTGAAAATAAAACATTTAGGTAACTCTATATTTATATCGCAAATCATACAAACTGCACAATTGCTAGGCAAACATTCTGTTCACATGCATTCAACACAAGTGGAAACAAATTTGTACTATATACTGAAGAATTCATTTTTGTTTTGTTCTAACTTCGATGTTTCTCCATAATATATCAAAGATATTTTCTAACCTCATTTGGACAAGTTTTAAAATGGTGGTCTTATGCTATTCAGATGCTTCTCAATTTACAACCATTTGTTTAATGACTGTTTGAAGTTACAAAAGTGCTGAAAAAAATTATGTATGATCAGTCCTCTAACTTACAACTGCTGCAACATCCTTATAGTCATGTGATCAAAATCTGGGTGCTTAAAAACCAGCAACGTACGGTATTTACAATGGTTGCAGAATCCTGGGGCCAGCTGATTGCCATTTGCAATCTTCTCAGAGGGCTTATGACAAGCAGAGTCAATAGGGGAAGCTGGAGTTATTTAATGACCATAGCGAAATTCCAGTCTCAACTGTGGTCACAAGTCAAGGATTTTATCTGTGCTCAGTAGCAAAAAAGCACTCTTAGAGGACATTGATTTATGTTACACAATTACTATAATAATATAATGAAATATCACTTGATTAAATGTTTACAAAGCATTTTCCTGTTATCATCCCAAGTTCCTCTGCTGGCATAAAAATAATTAAGGTGATTGGTTGAAGATGTAATGATCTTCCAAGTAGCAATAACCAGTGCTTAATTGTTGAAAACTGCTATGGTTATCTGTTTAGAACCATACTAGATTTTACTCTTTTGCTCACATGCAGAGTTATCTCCCAATTTGGTAGCCTAAGCATATTACCTGTTCGCTAAGCTGTATGACTTGTGTCTCCAAATCTTTATCAGACTTTGACACTGAACTGCTTGGCGGTGTTCTTTTGGCTGATGATGGACGAGATGATGTGGAGCCAGGTTTTGATGCAGGACTGGATCTGGCAGCACCTGAAAAAATATATTAAAATAGTTTTTAAAGTATTAGTTAGAACCAAGATTCTTGTCACTTAAGAAACCAACTATGATGAATGTAGAGAATCAGTAGGTAAAGCATTGTATGATTCAGTGGGCCAAGGACTTTGGATATAATATAATGCTTGAACAATGAGAGAATATGTGGACAAAAGGTCAAAAATTCACATTAAATTATAATTTAAAAGAAAATATTTATAAGATGTTGTCTATTTGGTATCCAACAGCGACAAATTGTCGAGAAAGTATAAAGGTATCTCAAATGAATGTGGGAAATGTAAATATAAAGAAGGAATTTTTTATCATTTTATGGTGGACATGTGACAAAGCAAAGAGAAGATCTTAAAGAGAATATAAAGATAAAACCAGAGACTTTTATTTTAGGCCTAATGGGCAAAGAACAAAGAAAAATAATGGAACTTTAATTTTATACATGTTGACATGTGTATAATTACTTTATGCACTGCCCTAGCATGCAGCCCTTACAAAGATCCCTACCCTACCCCTGAAAAGATTCAAAGTAAAGCTGGCAAAGCATATGGCAAGGACTTGATTCAGAGAGTTATGCCAACGCTGTGCAAAGTAGGGAGCCGCCAGCCAGCCCTGGTTGCTCTAGCTCTAAAACCCCAATCTGCACCCACCTTGCTTTTGCTTGCTTCCCGGGAGGCATCAGAACAAGCAGCTGTTTTGCAAGATCTTAATTGGCAGCCACAAGAAAAGAGCAAACTGCATTTGGTGCACAGAATCCTGGTAGGCAGATTGGGAATACACATGGTAATGTGTGATGAGCTGAGACTGCTGAAGCCAGGAGCCTGGGGGCCAGGATGGCACAAGGGCAAAGAACCCAACAGAAGGCAAAAGATGGCAAAGATCAACAATGTCAGCAGAAGTAACCAGCAGAATGCAGGCTGGCTAAAGGGCAGAGGTGGGGTGGAGATAGGCAACCAGGGAGAGTTGAAGGGAGGCAAGCACAGCAGAGTAAGAGAAGTCTGAGATCCTCCCTCAACAATGACATGATCCTGGAATAACAATCACAACTGGAACTACTGAAACTGCTGTCGCTAAGGGATGCAATTCACCTAATAACCACTTCGCCTAGACATGGAAATTCCAATCCCAATTAGGATCGCTATAAAGCTAGATTACACCAGCAGGTTCTAGTAAGAGGGAATCTATAAAGTAAAGAGGAGATGCCATGCATCCCATTTCTTTAATATGCCCATTAGTAACAGCAGCAGCTAAGAATGTGCTCCTCTTTTAAGGATGCAGGATTTCAGGAAATTTATAACTAAAGATTTAATATGCTAATGAAACCAACCCCCAGTCTGCAAAAGGCCAAAATATTTACAATAGATCATTAGATTTAAATATAATTTTATTATACATTGCTCTTTTGTAACATATACATGCAAATAATTCACTAGAAAATAAAACAAAAAATACCGTAACAATCTATCCTCGTCATTTCAGTATGTGGAAAATATTACTGTCTACAGCTGCTACATCAGTAACCGAACACTGAACATGTGTATGAGCCACAATTACATACAGAAGTGCACTTGTTTACACGTGTATGCTGAAGAAAGATCTAAATCAGGTTTGGGCAGAGGAAAACCTAACATGATTCATCCTAAAACAACATAATTGGGATAAATATACTCTTCTTACCAAAGAGAGAGTTTTATTTAAACTCTATTTGGGAACTGTACTATCACATTTTATATATATTTTAGAGAGCATGATAGTGCCCCATAAATCACAGTATGTTATGTGATGTGATGTGGATAAAAAGCCATTGTCCTTTAAAGTTAGTGAAGTTAATAAAGTTGTATTTTTAACATACTATTCAAAAATTACAACTGTAAACAGTAATCGTTCACAATCGTGGATAAATACCTGCTGTAGGAGAGTTTGCATGATGAGATTTTTTTGGCAGATTAAAGATCTGTTCCCCAGGATCAGGTGGTGGAATTGCATCTTGTCCTTGCCGAGCTTCTACTGGATCATATTCTTTGCCATCATAGTTAGCATCAAAAAATTTCTTAAACCACTGTATGAAATCAAGGTTATCTTGGAAACGTCCCTTTACTAATTTCTCTACTGGAATGACCTGTATGGCAAACAAGGCAGATCAGTGATTTAAAATACCAACAGAAGAATTTCAATAAAAAATAATGTTTCCAAATGCTAATAACAACAGTGTAATACCAAATAGTATACGTAAGTATTACTATACAAAATTTTGTGTTCCTCCTCCAAAAATTGTAGTCCTTGTTGATATAATTTACATAATTTCAACAAGAAATGTAATATATCTATTTACAGGACTACCTAGCCAATGAAATATTACATTTATTTTAGCTACTATAAAAGGAGCCATCACTTTTATACCATTCATCAATTTCATACATCCTTTTTCTATTAAATAGATAATAGAATAGTATTATACACAGCTCTGCATAAACTGGAATCTTTACCTTATCCACATTCATTCTTTTAAATGATGCTTGTAGAAGTTTGAAGTTATGAATATACTCATGTTCAAGCTTCGCTTGGAATTTTACTTTCTTCAAACTAATACACCCTGGGAACAACATATCCATGAACTGGCAGTAAGCTGCTCCTAGAACAAGAGAACAGAGGCATATTAGTTGCAGTGCAGGCAAATAAGCTAACCATGTGTCACAAGAAACAAATAGACTTACTTATCACCAGCCCAAAAAGGAACAAAAAGATTCCAGCACTTCTCCACCAGTACTCAGCACCCAGATCAGCATACATTAACTCCAAGGTTATCATCAGACCAACAATCAAGTAAACAATACCCCAATCAAGAAACTGCTGAAGAAGCCAACAGCAAACAGCCCAATCAAAGAATCTCTAAGACCACCAACATTGACAGGCAAGCCACTACAATATAAACTGACAGCAAATAGCACTCCTTACTAACATTGTTGATATTACCTTGTTTGGGTAATGAAACGTCTGCAAGAAAACAAGCAAGCTCAGAGAGCACTAAGGATCCCTCATGTCAATCCTGAGTTACAAATATTTTCTTTTATTAGACCTACTTATTTCAGTTGCAACAATAGGATTAAATATCAAAGTTCTATCTTAATATCAGATTGAAGCAATGTGTACATTTAATATGTGACTGCTTTTTCAAGCACATCTGCAACATTAGAATTGTAACAAATGTTACCAAGAAACATTCCAGTAAATACAGTACAAAAAGTCTCTACAAAATATATGTCAAAGCAAGACAAACTAGCATATTGGCCTGATCTTAAAAGCTAAAAGTGCTTAACTGATTTTTAAGAACCATTGATTTTCAAAGCACTTACTTTTTAATATTTTATTTTATCTGTATCCCATCTTTATTTTTTTTTATAAACAATTCAAGGTGGTGAACATATCTAATATGCCTTCTTTCTCCTATTTTCCTCACAATTCTGTCAGGCGAGTTGGGCTTTGAGAAAGTAATTGGCTCAAACTTACCTAGCTGACTTTTTTATTATTATTATTAAGGGGGGACTAGAATTCATGGTCTCCTGGCTTTCTAGCCTAGTACCTCACCTACTAGACCAAAATTGCTCTCTGTATGCTTAGAGATTGCTCACCAAAATTATAAAAATGTTGCATTTTATTCACAGAATAGTACCTATAGTCCCAATGTAGATAGCTCATAAATTCCTGACATTAAATCGAGAAAAAAGAAGCTACCATAACCTGAAAGCCACAAGAACAATTTCAGAGAAACAAGCCAGACAAAACTGAGTGGGAAAAAATAGCAAACGTTTGTCAGTTTCAGGAGGATTTTAGTAAGAGGCAGAAAGACTAATAAATTCTGACAATCCAATACGGTGTTCATCCTGAACAGTACCACAAACAATGGCTTCTGCTACCTAATTAGTTGGCAATGTTAAATTAATCAGCAATGCTGTCAATTAATAGTGCTGTGGGCAAGAGCAGCCTCAACAGTAAACCTAGCAAAGATTATAATCCAATTCAATGGTAGCAAAGAATCAGATTTCTAATCCAGTAAATATTAGCGAAATCTTCCACAAATTTACTACAAAATTGATGCTTTGTTCTTCAGCCAGATTCATCTGCTTTATCAACATTGGACTTAATAGACCTTAAGATATAATGGAGCATTGTATCTGAAATGATAGGAAAACTATGAATGAAATCACTTTGTTTTGTGATGATGAATTAATATTTACCTTAGATCGCTTATAAATTCTGAAATGAAAAAAGCAACCCAAAGGCTTTGGTACATTAGATTCTGCTCCCTAAGTCTACAACAGAATCCAGAGCAGAAGACTGTTCTGGGATCAGTATTTGGTCAGTTTTTCTCAATAGAAACGTTTTCAGATATACTGTATATGAACTGGTAGTATCAGTGGGACATCTTGTCAACATCAATAGAACAGCTTGCCTTCCAGAATTGTAGGTGTTCCATTGCTGGAAGTTTTCAAGAAAAGATTGGATAATAATTTGTCTGGGATAGTATAAGAACTCCTACCTTCAACAAGGGGTTAGGCTAGAAGTCCCTCAAGGTCCCTTCCAGCTGATTCTATGGTGTTTACTGCAACAGTCTTTTTCCACTACTATCAGTATGTAACAATATATTGTCATATCTTTTATTTTTCTTATTTGTGTCCTGCCTTTATTATTTTTACAAATAACTCAAGTTGGGAAATATATCCAATACATCCTGTTCTCCCTACAATAGCAAACCTATGAAATGAGTTCATCTGAGAAAGAGTGACTGGCCCAAGGTCACCCAGCTGGCATTCATATTTAAAATACTAGGACTTGTGGTCGCCTGTTTTCTAGCCTGATGCCTAAACTATTAGACCAAATTGGTTCCCTTTTGCCATATATAAAGCTGTTGATGCATTTAATCCTAGAGGTGATTTTTCTGATGTTATGAGTCAGCAGCACCTTCACTTTGTTCTACTTTAGCAGAGATTAAGCACACAACACAGCAAAGTCAAGCTACAGTCATACCAGCATTTCATTTGCTAAGCTGCTTTCACCACTGGTGAAAAACAAGGAATAAAGACCACCAGACACAAGCTAGAGCTGTTAGGGCCTACCTTATAGTGGTAAGGGTGGTGAAATTTAACTATTTCTTAATTCTTATTGCATCTGCCAATAATTGCCTGATGGCCCTGTTTCTAGTGAGTTGGTCTACCCTGTCAGAGGGAGTTAATATCAAAGTTCACCTAAAGGGTCACTGTGGCAAACATGCTTTAAATCTGGCAGACAAAGTTGCTCATTGCTGCATGCTGGACTCCAGTTTTAAAGCAGAATATGTGTGTAATGGAAGGAGCCACATCTTTCAAGGTGACCATGGAAGTATGAGCCCGTGGAACATGAAGAAGTGGACAAAGTCCTCTCAGCTGCTAATTCAGCTCCTTGTATACAAGTAGTCCTTGTCAAGGTAATGCTTGACTTATGATAATAATTGAGTCGAATATTTCTGTTGTTAAGTGAAACATTTGTTACGTGAGTTTTGCTCCATTTTACAACCTTTCTTGCCACAGATGGTAAGTGAATTAAAGCAGTAGATAAGTTAGTAGCATGGTAATTAAGTGAATCTGTTTTTTCCATTGAGTTTGCTTGTCAGAAAGTCACAAAAGGGGATCACATGACCCTGGGACACAGCAATGGTCATAAATATTAACCAGTTTCCAAGCATCTGAATTCAGATCACATGATCACGGGGATGCTACAAAGGTCATAAGTGTGAAAAATAGTCATAAGTAACTTTTATTAGTGCTGTAGTATCTTTGAACGACCATGAAATGAACTAAATGTTGTAAGTCAAGAAACATTATTCAGAAATGAGCATACATGGTTTTATGTCAATTTTGGATGCCAGGATGGAGATTCCTATTGCTAAAATCTACTAGACCAGAGGTCTTCAAATTTGACAGCTTTAAGACTTGTGGACTTCAACTCCCAGAATTCCTCTTTTCAGTCGTGTTAGCTCAGGAATTTGGGGAGTTGAAGCCCACAAGTTGCCAAATTAGAAGATCCTTGTACTAGACCCTAAACTAGGTGTTTTCTGAGGAAGGGAGCACATAAGAAAATGCATGACATGGCACAAATAACACAATGTTGTGGCTTGCTGTGGATACCTATAGGCCCTCATTCATAATATAAATCCTTGGGGGTATCAAAATGGCTGAAAGAATGTAACTCGGTTTGGGGGGTAAAAACTTTCCCCAGAGGATGCTAGAGTTGCTAATTTGCACACTATTAATAATTAATGAAGTACAAACATTAATATACTTGTTTGTTATTTTGGGAATACATTTTCCTTGTAGAAGGTATACATTTTCCTTGTAGAAGGTATACATTTTCCTTGTAGAAGGTATACATTTTCCTTGGAACATTTCAATTCAGCTGTGGTTTGGCTCAAATTTGTCAAAATACTAGATTTATATGTTTCCATATGGAAGACATTACCCATCCATAGTATATAGAGAAAGCTTGTTCCTTCAGGAAAGCCATAGAATTGTGCAGCTATTTAATGATATTCTTCATATAATTATTGCATAACTTGTAGAAAGGAAGATAACTGTATTTCAAAAGGGACAACCTGCACATTCAGGGAACCAGAAATAAAGTCAGGCAACATTAAAATATTCATTGCTTTTACCTATTTCTGGAAATAATGTTTCTTTAAAACTCAAGATTTAGTTTACTTTGGAGTATTGATTCAGTGGTCAATATTCATTATATTTTTAAACTGGGCTACAGCTTGCAAAAGTGGTAAATTCTTTTGATCTAATTACAGTACAGGAATTCTGTACTTTGTTTAGAATTGAACAGAAGGCAGATATACACTACTTTTCATGCAGATCTCACAACTGTACAACAAAAAAGACAGAAATGAAGGTTTGATTTATTAAGCTTACAAACATTAAGGATAAACAAATGGATAGACTGAAAGACAAGAGCCATGGCAGGCTAACTACTGCTGATTCTAATCAACTAACTACAAAATGAGAGAGAAAAAGTTAGATTTATCATTTCTCCCAAGAACAGTTTTCACTAAGGCCAAAACCAGTGTGAATATCTTATCAAGGCAATATTGACAACATGAACTAATCACATATTTCAGGGGTGAGAAGCATTTGATCAGGTGCCGAACTTTACTTAATTTACATATAAAGTTAGCATCCCATAAAAATAATAAATGTAAAAATATCAGTATGACTCTCAAAATTAGAGATGATTAGGAATCAAAGCACATCAGACCATCATAAAAGAAAAAAAAACACTATATTGAGGACATGGGCAAGTGTTTTTACCTCCCTGAATACACAAGGGCAAAGCCTCTGTAAATAAGGAGTCCCATGAAATCTTCCCACCAGCAGTACTGAAGGGAGGGCATCAAATGGCTCTGTAAAAAGCAATTATCAGAAATTAATTGCTATATAATTATACTTATATTGTTTTGCAACTATAATCCTATTTTGCCATTTGCCATAAAAAAAATGATCTATCTTTCTGCTGAACAATGTGTTTTACAGTGAAAAATACTAAGCCACTGTATGATCCATATTTATCTAGCAGCAATGGGGTTGCATTGGTATCTTATTC